ATGGAATCCTGTCTGTGTTTCCTGTCTGCTTTCAGGAAAGCCCAGTCAGGATAACCGCACTGCTCCAGGGCCTGTCGTGTGTGTGATTTCTCTTTCTCCCTGGCTCCTGGGTTTGTAGGGACACTGTCTGCTCTGTGGTACAGAGTCCTGATCACTCCTGGGTTTAGAGAAGAACCCGTCCAGAAGACCTACACAATTTTTTTCTTTTTGATTTTTTACCTGGATTACTGAGATGCATCAGGACACTCACAGAGTTGCCTGAGGGTCAGCGCTCAAGAGTTTCTCCATCAAGGCTGTTGAGGCTACAGGACTGTTTAGACAAGCCCTGGAGAAGATCCAGACCCGCTGTGATCAAAGAAGTAAACAGGTGGAGGCCCTGCGACTGGGGATGCCCAGATGCCAGTACTCTCAGTCCAGAGCCCCCAGTAATCACAGGAGCGCACCTCAGCGTCAGCGCTCCCAGTCCCGACGCCCTGCACAGAAAAGGCTTTCGCCGGAGTCCAAATCGCAACAGCCGCCTTTCCCTGCGACTCAGCAAGGGTGTCCACAACCCGGGCAACCTGCATGGTCCAAGCACCACTTTGTCTCGAAGCAGGCAGGGGTGCCAAAACCCTCATCAGCGGTGAGGGAGAAAAAGCAGCAGTCGGCCTAGCTTCACAGCTGAAAGACTTAAAATCAGAGCTGTTCCACCCACCGGGAAAAAGGAAAGCTCTACAGATACAGTCTGCATCTGAGTCAAAAAGACCCCGATTAAGCAGACTAACATGCACAACCACTCCATGCGCGCACACACACACTCCCCACTCACGTGTTGTTGGTGCAATAAGAGGACAATTCCGTCCTCAAGCACCGGGGATAATAAAGACAGAATGTTGTGCTCACACTGCTTTGTCACTGTTTTCAGAAATAAAGGACGATTTTTGTCCCCATTTCACAAAAACATTGAAGATAAAGGAGAGAGCACTCCGAGAAATGGAGCTAAACGCTCTGCCCCTCTCAAAACTATGCCCAGTAGAGGGCGCAATAAACTCACAAATAAACATGCCGTTGAGCTGAGTTCCAGAGCCGACGCATGGCGCGCATGCGCACCATCACAATGGATCATGGGAACTGTAGTTCAGGGCTACAGGTTGCAATTCAGCCGACCTCCTCTGTCATTCAGGGGAGCCACGCTGTCAAAAATACAACCACATCTTGCCCTGGTCCTCAGGGAAGAGATTCGCACACTTCTAGCAAAGAAAGCGATAAAAATCGTCCCTCCACAGGACTCCGACAGCGGTTTTTACAGCCGCTAATTTGTTATCCCGAAATAAGATGGGGGTCTCCGTCCTATACTGGACCTGAGACAGTTAAACAAAAGGCTGAGAACATTCAAATTCAGAATGTTAACTCTGCGCCACGTAATGCAGTCAGTAAGACAAGGGGACTGGTTTACATCAGTGGATCTGAAAGATGCATATTTTCACATCTCAATCCAACCCAAACACAGAAAATATCTGCGCTTTGCTTTTGAAAACAAAGCGTACGAATATCAAGTCCTGCCATTCGGTTTATCCCTAGCGCCTTGAATATTTACAAAATGCCTCGAGGCAGCATTAGCACCAGTCAGGGCCCAGGGCATCAGAACCCTGGACTACCTGGACGATTCATTAATTCTGGCAGACTCTCCTCATCAGGCCAGCTCGCATACAGCTCTGCTGATGTCGCACCTGCAGTCTCTGGGGTTTGTTATAAACAAAGAAAAGAGCCAACTGATCCCCACTAAGAAAATCTGTTATCTGGGATTGGAACTGGACTCTGTGGGAAATCTCACGGGATTATCTCTGCGGAGGTTGACAGCGTTCAGTCAGTGTTTAACACTATTTCAGCGTGACCGGTGGCTAACGATGCGACACTGCCAGCTCCTCCTGGGGTTCATGGCCTCTATGATTCCAGCAGTCCCGCTTGGTCTGCTGATGATGAGGATGTTTCAGCGGTGGGTTCACTTCAGACAGAGACCCGATGAAACAAAGTCAGATGGTGCAGATCTCACCCTCCTGCATACGCGCGCTTCTCCTTTGGAGAGACACAGCGCATATCAGCAGGGGGGTTCCCATAGGTCGAGTTTTATCACGCGTCCTGGTGACTACAGACACGTCAAGGTCCGGCTGGGGCGGGATCTGCAGACACAAACACATCAGCGGTGTGTGGTCTCAGAGACAGAGCCAACTTCATATAAATCAGTTGGAAATGTTGGCAGTTTTTCTTTCACTAAAACATTTCATCATGATGGGTCTGCTAGCTCAGCAACATGTGCTGGTGCGCAGCGACAACAGCTGTGTGGTGGCTCACATGAACAAACAGGGGGCACACGGTCATTGCCCCTCCGCCTGACCCACACCTTGCTACAATGGTGCAGCACACGACTGCTGTCGCTGAGAGTGAAACACGTCCCGGGAACATTGAACTATGGAGCGGACGCGCTCTCCAGAGGTCTCCCACTGGCAAGGGAATGGCGTCTTCACCCAGAAGTGGTGCAGCAGGTTTGGGCCCACTTCGGCAGAGTCGACATAGATCTGTTTGCCTCTAGGGAAAACGCGCACTGTCTTATGTATTTCTCCATACGGGACGTGAACGCACCACTCTGTATATACGCGCTCGCGCGCCGGTGGCCACGAATGCGCCTTTACGCATTCCCCCCAGTGGCACTGATCCAGACCATGCTGGATCGCATGCGCAGGGAGGGGCTAATAATGATTCTAGTGGCTCCCCGCTGGCCCCAGAAAGCCTGGTTTGCAGAAATTGTCTCACTACTGGATGGGAAACCATGGCGTCTCCCCGTGCGCAAAGATCTCCTGACCCAAGCGCACGGGCAGATTTGGCACCCCCGCCCACAGATCTGGAACCTGTGGGCCTGGCCCCTGAGAGGGAAAAATTGATGGCTACAGGCCTTCCTAGTAATGTGGTGAGCACGATTCAGTGCGCCAGAGCCGAGTCCACTCAGAACGTTTACACGATTAAGTGGCGTGTTTTTGAAACGTGTCTGGAAAGAAACATTGTTCCTTTTTTCAGCACCATAGCTGAGGTTCTCACATTTTTACAGGAGTTGCTGGAGAAGGGCCGTTCTTTCTCCACAATAAAAGTTTATTTGTCGGCCATCTCTGCCTGTCATGGAGGTTGGAACGGAAAGTCTCCCGGTTCTCATCCTCTGGCGGTACGGTTCATGAAAGGTGTTTTACGTAAGAAACCACCAGGTAGGACACTGGCGCCACAGTGGGACCTGTCATTGGTGTTAGAAGTGTTGTGCGAAGCACCCTTTGAACCTTTAGAGTCGGTCGATATGAATATTTTGTCATATAAAACAGCGTTTCTTCTAGCGCTTTGCTCAGCCAAACGCATGAGCGACATGCACGTGCTTTCAGTTCACCCTTTGTGCACCCAATTTGCGCATGATGGTTCTAGAGTGATTTTACGCCCCAACCCGGCATATGTTTCCAAAGTAACATCTTTGTCTTATAAAAGCCTTTCCTTTGAAATGTCGGCTTTTCCGCCACCGCCAGTGACAACCGCAGAGCAGAGGCGCATGAGTGCGCTCTGCCCCGTGCGCGCTCTGCCCTGTGCGCGCACTGCATATTTATATTGAACGAACACGAAGCTGGCGAAAAACAGATCAGCTATTTGTGTGCTTTGCTAAGCCGGTGACAGGAAACGCTCTGTCTAAACAATGCCTTTCTCACTGGGTGGTGGAGGCGATTTCTAGTCCATATATCTCTAAGGGTAAACAAACACCCTGCGGTGTACACGCCCACTCTACCAGAGGTATGGCCACCTCATGGACTCTATTTAAGGGAATCCCAATAGCAGACATTTGCGCTGCTGTGAACTGAGCGTCTCCCAATACATTCATAAGATTTTACAGCCTGGATGTTACCGCCAATGACGTCACCCAGGCTGTTCTTTCAGCACAAGTGTGAGATATCCACTGTTGCCTGTATCAGGCTAATTCTCTCTCTGCATATGCATCTCGGGGCGTGATTGTAGGTCCCCATACTTATGTGTTGCACCGAGTGTACTGACCGAAAGGGAACTGGAGGTTACGAATGTAACCAATGTTCCCTGAGGGAGGGAAATGAAGTACAACACAAGTTGGCCCCTCAATGCCACATTAGCTCGGCGAAGTGCTTTGCAGATTGAAGAAATGAGACTGCGCAGAATCTTATATACAGGAGGGCGGGGCCTCCTGGAGATGCGTGCAGCAATCTCATTGGCCTTAACAGGCGTGTTGAAAGAAACTTCTTCAGGTTGGTCTCGCGAGGGCGCAATCCCCATACTTATGTGTTGTACCTCGTTTCCCTCCCTCAGGGAACATTGATTACATTCGTAACCTCCAGTTTAGTGTGAACTTGTACTTGTTTTTTTTTCAATACTTTATTTACTTAATAGCAATTACGGCATGGGATGATTCAGAATGTGTTGGCTAACATCTGCCTGAAATATATTTATATTCATTTCTGATATAGTATGTCTTGCCTTTAAGTATAATTTAATATGATCACATCTTTGATCAGATCACCTGATAATGCACATCAATCAAACTACAGTTGTTCATTAGCAGCTGAAACAACAAAATTCTTAAAGAAAATATATAAAATAGTAAGAAACCACACAAGCTTCCTACTTCTCTGTACTTACAGCTACACCCACTGTTTCTGTGTAATTAAGTTTCAGAGGAGTGCTGATACTTTAAATAAAGTCCTCTGTTCATATGACCTAAATGAAGTTTTATGCTTTAAGTTTAGTGTGAGTCAGAGCAGAACCCATGTGTTTAAAGGGATCCCTGATTAGTTGTAACATTAGACTTTATATGACAAACATATACTTTCACTGTAAAATAAAGACTGTAAAAATACTGTAGGATGTTCAGTTTTCATAATTTTTAAACTAAAAGTTTAAAAATATATTACACGGACGGGGCCATTTTATTTACATGCAAAGCATTCTGGGTAAATGATGACATCAACTATGTCATCAGCACAAGGCTGCTAGCGAGCTACAGTATATCCACCCTGAAGGTTATAATCTTGGACAATATCTGACGATCGACTCTTTTAAATGAAACCAGAGAGCGTTGACAGAGAGGAGAAGGTAGAAATGACTCATGGAGGACAACAGAGCTGCTTCATGGAAGAAGAACCTTAGCTTGGCCTGTTAGCTTTAGCGTTATCCCCGACGCTATCACCATATATACAGTATGTATATATGTATTAGCTCAGCACTACACATTCTCCTCTCATCACTGAGGTCCTCCATCCACGACAGAGAGGGGAACACAAAAATGACTCAGCCTGCAACTGAAAATATGGATGGAGAACCTCAGTTTAGCTTGTTTGTTGCGCTAGCGCCGAGCTAACACATATAAGGCAATATTGCATCGGCGCTAGTGCAAAGGCTAACAGGCTAAGCTGAGGTTCTTCTTCCATGAAGCAGCTCTGTTGTCCTCCATCCATATTTTCAGTTACAGGCTGAGTCATTTCTACCTTCTCCTCTCTGTCAACGCTCTCTGGTTTCATTTAAAAGAGTCGATCATCAGATATTGTCCAAGATTAACCTTCAGGGTGGATATAACTCACTAGCAGCCTCGCACCGATGACCTAGTTGATGTCATCATTTACGCAGAATTCTTTGCGTGTAAATAAAATGGCTCTGTCTGTGTTAAAATATATTTTAAAAAATTTACAAAACTAAACAGCCTACAGTATTTTTACAGTCTTTATTTTACAGTTAAAATATATGTTTATCAAATAAAGTTTAATGTTACAACTAATCGTGGATTCCTGATGCAGTGGACTTTGTTGTTTAGATTTTTATACATGTTTAGCTTCTGAACTTTCTGTAGCACCCTTACAAATGTTACAGTTTTAACATTCCCAAAACAATCTTTTCTCATGTCTGTTGCAGAATAAAGATGAGGAACTGAGAAAAGCCAACTCAGAAGGTGAGTATTCAGGATCTCTGTCTCTAAGGTTTGTTGTGATTTGAGACCAAAGGGTTCAGATGAACTCAAGGACCCAATGAGGAAAAAGGAGAGATTTACGCAATTGATTTATGACGAATGACCTTCTGGATGCTACATGGGCTCAAACCTGCAGCCTCAGGTTTACCAAACTGCTGCCCTGACCATCGAGTTACCGCAGCCCCACGAACAAAAAACTGAATGGGCAGCAGGCAAATACAAAAGTAACAAAACTACAAGGAGCGTGTAGGGGAAAGGCAGACACATAAGCACTAAAACAAGCTGAGGATAAAATGCAAACAGAGATTAAGTTGTTTATTTGTTTTTCTGTCAGTAAAATATCTCATGAATCACTAGACAAATTTAAAAAAATCTCAGAAAGTAGTCCGTGGGTGTAAACCTGCAAGTGTTTTCCTTTTGGGGTCAATCAGATTATAAATGCCCAATACAGCTACAGATATTCAGTTTCAATTCAGTTTATACAAAAATTTTAGTTTGGTAGCAGCTGACAGTCATTTACAACATCTGTGTTGGTTGTTGGAGTCCACCATTTCTATTTGTTAGCAAAACATCTCATGTACCACTGAACAGATTTTAGTGAAACATTTAGAAATCATTCATCACGTCGGGGTCACCAATTTAAAGAAACCTATATGCTTGAGAGGCCACATGAGATCGATTTCGATTTCAGACTTGAACATGCATTTGCAGTTGAAACAACATTGATTTAGCATTGGTCCACTTTGACCAAACCTAGCCCCTTCCTTTAAGATCAGAACAAAATGCCCCAGAATCTCATATTCTTACAATGTTTATAGAAAAGCTGGTCACATCCCTGTCAAGTTAAAGGTAAGAACCAGAGAACTCGTCTGACACCCTGGTTTACAAAGAAAAGGACCCCGTCCAGAAACATTTAAAGGCAGAAACGGCCCTGTTTTTGCCCACCGGTGGAACAAAGACTTAATAAATTTCATTTGGAGTCCAAGCTATAACTCCACCATTTGTGTAAAACTCATGAAAGGTGGCGGATGATATTCATCCAAGCAATGCTAGATGTTCTTGCTTTGGATAAGCCACGGTGAGTTGTGTTGGTGAATAACAATGAAATATTTGCTGTGTTTGATCAGAAACCAGTTGACGTGTGAATGTGTCTTTCAGGTTCTATCCTGGACAAACCTGAACCTCCTCCCACACACGCCAAGCCCAGAACCATGTCCACTTCATCAGGTAGCCATGGCTCCTCACATGTTTAAATCTTGTATTTAGATTTATATCAGTAAACTCTGTAAATTAGCTCCATCTCTCCTGAACTAATGGGGTTTTCTAACGGTTCTAGCGTCAGAACAAGACCTGGTCCAGGTTCACTGTTTTTATAGAACCAGTTAAAGTTAGCTTGGTTTCCACAGTCAGTGAATGATTGTTCCTCTCTCTGGTGTTTCTGAGTTTCTGCAGAGGATCACAGAGCAGAGAGGCAGTTTTATCCACAGATCACAGGGTTTTTCTCTTTAGACTTCCTATCATGTAAACTAAACTCACTTTTCTGTGATGAATACTGATAATAAATTCTGTGTGAAACAAGTTTACTGAAGCTGAAAAGCTGTTTGATGTAATAGTTATCCCCTGCCATCGAAGGCAAAGGTGTTTTTGCATGTTTGTGTGTTTGTTTCCTAAACACGTTGGATTGGATTTTAATAAAACTCTGTTATAATTTAATGTACATATATGCTGCTCTGTGTGTCACTCATTATTCAGCATGTCTCTCCAAACACACCACACTCCTGGATTTGCAACTTTGTGCCACATATAGTCATGGCAGATGACAAACTTTGTCCCTGTTTCTATGAAGTGATGCCTCATCTGGTTTTTGTTTGTGGGGTTTCCTCCACTCTGTGGGCACATGTTGACACCTGTCCTTGTCTAGAGCTGGTACTTTTGGTGATGTAAAGACTAAGAACTGAACAAGAACAGGTCTTGGTGCACTGGGATCAGTTCGGTGGAAAACCCTTTTATTTCTTCAGGTTTTATGTACTGTATTAAATTCAACAGTTTCTGTCTGCATTTGGAACAATCCCTTTTTTCAAAGGTGGAAATGTTCAGCTAGCTTTACTTAGAAAGTGTTTTTTTTTTAATAAATGGAATCAATTTTCTATAATAATCCTGTTTTATAAAGAATAAATAAATAAACTTGCTTTCACTTTTGTTAAAAGCTGACCCCAGGTATCCACTGAGACCACAGGATTCCACCCGGTTAGAGTCCCTGCTTCACCCAAATTCTGCTCTCCTCGACCGCACCACAGGACCTCTGCCACCCAGACCTTCAGCTAAACCCCCAGCCCCCATTCCAGCTGTTCGTCCTTCCTCTGCTCCTTTTTCCTGCAGCCTGACAGAGACTGAGATCACAGCTCGAGCTGAAACTGCAGTTCAGGTAAGAGAACCTGGTACCACTTTACAATAAGGCTCCCCTTATAGATGGCTTAAGAGTTTACTAATTCATCTGTAAACACTTTATAAATCATTAATAAATGTTTATTATGTAATAGTTAAGGACAAAAAGACAAAACTGTCTAGTTTCTTATCAAATAATGAGACAAAGCTGTTCAAGTATCTAAAGGTTCTATATTAATTTCAAACTAGGTTATTACATTGTAAGCACAACAATAATAAGAAACACATGTTTTAATATATTAATATTGTATAACTACATTATAAATATTCACAACTGTCAAAGGGAGACTTATCGTAAAATGTAATACAGTACACTTTTTATTAATGACAAGTACACATTTATAAATGTCAAACGTTTATATTTAATGTGAAAAATCATCATTTTTAAAACTTAGTGTTGGTTATCAATATTTAAAATTATTGTTCAAACATGTAACTACTGTCAACAATGATGATGCATCAAAAAAGTTAAAAAAATGTAATTTATAATATAACAAATAATCCCACCCCATCCAAAACAGTGCACATTTATACACTTTACAAGAAGGATGCCTTTAATATCTGTGGATATTTATAATGCAGTAATACAGTACAATATTATATGTTAAAATATGCATTTCCTAATCATTATTGTGCTTACAAAGTAGTAAACTAGTCTAAAATGTTTTATGCCCAAACAGATTTGGTTCAGTATTTGGAAAGAAACCGGTCAGTTTAGTCTCTTTTTTACCTTAATTAATGCATAATAAACACTTATTGATAATTTATAAAGTGTTTACAGATGAATTAATAACTTATCTATAAACATTTTTTAAAGCCATCTATAAGGGGAGCCTTGTTTACAATTATTATTGTGAACTGTTCTAAATATTGCCAAGTTTATCTAATAGTACAATCAATAACAAAATTATAGTACCAATGTCCTCAAGTGAGGACTATATCTACCAACATTGGGCCTCATGCAAGAGCATGTTCGTATTCTCATCCTAAATTTCTCTTACTTTTGTTCGTACAAAGGGTTCGTACGAACATGTCACTTCAGATTCAACAAACTCTTCTATCTTCAGGAAAAGTGTGTAAATGAGCTGCGTAAATTCCACC